CTCCCCACAAAGGCCCCATGTTCTCCCACCTGTTTTTACACTGGCTGTTCCCTCCACCTGCTTCCTCACCTCCCTAAGGACTCAGACCAGATGTCAAGGGAAATAGACACCTTCCCCCTGTACTTTTTCCCAATCACCTCCCAAAACGGCTTCCCCTTTTTGTCTGTTTCTTTCCAGAAGGGCAGGGAGTGTCCATGGTCTGTTCTGCTCACTGTTAGGGCCCCGAGGCCCAGGACAGCAGAGGCACACAGCAGGCTCTCATCAAGTGTCAGCTGAATGAACAAACTGACAGCTCCGGCCCAGCCTAATGGGGCTGTGATGGGACACTGAACATGAGCAGCAACACTGGGGCTCTGTCAGGGGCAGGGGGAAGTGGGTCCTGAGGAGAGTCCAGGCCAACAGGAGGGGATGCACCCCTGTCCTCCCCACACCCCCAAATAACTCCCTCACCATGCCAGACCCAGGACCAGGTGAAGGACCAGGCAATGGGGGGAGGGGAGTGCTCAGGGTGGAGAACAAAGAAGGCAAACCAAGCACACTGCTCCGGCACTAAGTCAAGTTCTTTACTTCCCAGAAGTGATGGCTAAGAGGGGGTGGGGGTGGGGGGAGGAAGACAGAGAGAGCAAGGAGGTGGGAGGAGAGGGGACAGTAAACCACTGTTCTATAAGTCTCAGGAGGCAAGTGCTCAAGGTAAAAAAGAGTCCTGGAGAATCGTCCGCGGCTGCGGGAAGCATCTCGATTTCCTTCTGTGTAGAAGTCCTTGGGGGGGGTAAAGGCTGCCGCCGCTGCCGCTGCATTAAATAGTTATGTACATCGCAGAGAGTCCCAGGCCGTAGGCAGGCGGGGGAAGGGGGTCATTTCACCAGGGGCCGAGTTTTATCATCATCACCACACTGATGGGCTTTGTACTTTTTCACCTCTGCCATGTACTTGGCCCATGCGTCACCTTTACTTGTTAATACCTGTTGGGGGAGGGGGGGCACACAGGGGTTGCAAGGGGACACCAAGGAGGCCAGGAACTGGGGTCAGGACTGTCCTGAGACAGCTGACACCCCCCCACACACACACACCCACCCCGTGTCACCCTTAAGGTCGTGGGTTTGAAGTAAAGATGTGCAGACTCAATTTATCTGGGGAAACTGTTGAAAGCCCTCCTCCCCCACCCAGCCCCCGCATCCAAGGCCCCGGGGGCTGGACAGAAGGGAAAGGGCTCAGCAGCCAGGCACTGAGGCTGGAAAGGAAAGGCACCGCGGGTGGGCCCCCTCACCCAGCCTGCTCACCTCATCCTCCGTCTTCTGCTTCTTGGCTACTATTCCCGTCTTGAGGGCTAGTTTGTTTCCGCCTCTGCGCTTGCCCACCTGGGTGAAGGGACAGAAGACTGCAACGGTTACAGGAGCCGGGCCCGGCCTTGGCGGCGCTGAGGCCCACTACACCTTCCTAGCCCGGCCCGGTGGCCCGTCCCGACGCCGCGCCCAGCTCCACCAGCCGGCCGACCTGCGCAGCAATCAGAGAGGAGCACACGCGACTCTTAGCGTCTGCCCTGGGCCCATGATGCCCTGGCAGTCGTGGGCCCCTGGGCTGCCCTCCCCAAAAGCAAGAAGAACCTCCACATCAGTGGGGACCGGCTGTCCTCACCCTCCCCTAGCAGGGACCACACAGGCAGCAACAGCTCCCTTTACTGAGCACTCACTGTATGCTAAGCTCTGTGCCAAGTACTTTGGATGTATCATCCTTCACTTTCACGGCTGCTCCAAGAGGAAGGTTACAACCAACCCCGTTTTATAGATGAGGGTACACCTTTGAGAAAGAAGAGGGCCTACCCTTGGTTGGCAGCAAGCAATGGAACTGGATTCAGGGTCAGATGGGTCCACGTCACAGAGCAGCATCCTCACCCGACAAAGGATGCTGCACCTAACCTGGCCTCTTTAAGGTGCCCCTCGATGAAGAAATGAAAAAGGCAGTGACAACTACTGCTACTCCTGCTCACAAAGGGTCACTCGGCCTCCACCTCTGGTTCTTACACCAAGCCAGGAACCTAGAATCCTGACACTCTCCCTTCCTCCAAAAGAAGTCTCACTCTAGACCTCATCCTGGTCCTCCACCTTCTCCCACTGAGTACTTTCTGTGTCCACGGGCAGCAACAGGCTTTACAGACATCCTCCCATCTCTATCCCTCAGCCAGCATCAAGTAACCCGTGCTGCTGGGACTACCCCCACTCACTTTTAACAAATGAAGAAAATGGGGCTTGGAGAGGTTAAATCACTTGCCCGAAATCACACTGTTGGAGTTAAGACTTGACCTCCAGTCTGTTACTCTCAAGTCAACACTTTCCTCCACACCACAGGGACTTGATCTCTGAACAAATTAATACCTGGGCTGTGAATTAGCTACTTCTTTTTCTTTTTCTTTTTTTTCCTCTTTCTTTCTCTCTTTCTTGGTTATTAAAGAAACTTTTAAGTATGTCTTTTTTTTTTTTTAAATAGGCTGTACACCCAACGTGGGTCTTGAACTCTAGACCCTGAGATCAAGAGTTGCGTGTTCTACCGACTGAGCCAGCCAGGGGCCTCCAGGGACTTGATCTCAATACCAGAAACAAAGCAAGCTCAGAGTTGACCATCAATATAGTTGCCATTTATTTAGCCTAGAGTTTCTTGACCTCACACTAGTGACATTTTGAGCTGGATCATTTTTGCGGGGTGGGGGGAGCTATCCTGTGCATTGTAGGACGTTGAGCAGCATCTCTAGTCTTTACTCAGAGATGTCAACAGCACCCCTCCCCCAATTCTGACAAACAAAAATTTCTCCAGACTGCCAAATTGAGGGGGCTTGCGGGGAGGGGGTGGGGAGATTGTTCATTCCCAACTAAAAACCACTGGTGGTTTAGCCCTTCGTTTAAGACAAACCCTGTACTAACCTCCGGGATGGCCTCACAGAACCCTCATCACATCACAAGATGCGATGGTAACCATTTTTGCAAATGGGAAAATTGAGGGTAGGCCAGCCCAGACACTCCAGGAAAACGATCTTGTCATGTTAAACACGGCACATCCAGCACCCAGCACAATGCTCAGCATAAGGTATGGTGCTCAATAAATGGACACCGGACAAACGAGACTCAGGGAAAACAGAACAAATTTCCTAAGGTCACACAGTTAAGCACTGAGTCTCTAAACCACACAGCTCAGATTCCAGATTTGAATTTGCCCCTCTTCCCCATAGTGGGAGATGGTCCCAGTATCCAAGTTTAAGTACCACTCAAATAGGAATCCCGGTATCCTGATTTCCCCATCCCCAGAGCGCTGTTTCGAATGCAATTGCCTGGCTACCGGTCCCCGCGGGCGGTCTCCGGGGGTCCCCACCCCCGCCCCCAAACCTCTCGTCGAGAATCCAGGTTCCGGATCCTCAGCGGGCGACCGGACGGCCCCCTCATCGGGGCCGGAGGGTGGACCTGGATCCCGATTCCCTTTCTCGGGCCCCGATTCCCTCTGCCAAGGCAGGCCCCGGCGCCCGCCCCCACCCCCGCGGCTCCTTACGAAGCTGAGCGTGGGGCCCGGGCCGCCCTTCCTCTTCAGATCCCCAGGGCCCGCGGCGGCGGCGGCGGCGGCAGGCTGGTCGGGTCGCGGCGGGCCCGGGGGCGGCTCCTCCTGCCGCTGCCGCTGCTCCTCCTCCATCTTCCGCTTGAACAGCTCCAGGAAGCTGCCGTCGTTGGCGAACAAGTTCACACCGCCCGACACCGGGCTAGAACCCGCGCCCGACGCTTCCTCGTCCCCGCTCTCGGGCGACGTCCCGGGCCCCGACTCAGCCCATCGGCTCCCGACACTGCCGCCGCCCGCGGGGCCCGGCGCCTCCCGGCCCGGAGGCTCCGCCCGTCTCCCTCGGGCAGCCATTTTGTCGCCAGGTGCCGCGCAAAGGACTCCGGGAAGGCGGCTCCGGCCCGGCGCTTGGCGCCCGACTTGCCCCGTCCCGGGCAATGCATGCCGGGAAGAGCGGTCTGGCCCTCAAGCGTCCGCAGTAGGGGCGGAGTATAAGGGGCGGGGCGAATAAGGGGTAAGACCTGGCGCCACGGGCCCGCCCAGCCAGCCACGCGGATTTTTATAATCCCTCTAGATTTGGGCGGTTTCCCCGGGACTGGAACCATTGTCTGGGACTGCGGCTGTAGCTGGCTCTCCGGAGTGAGGTTCCCACTTGAAACTGGGGGCATATTACCTTTCCGGGGCTAGGATCCCCTTCTGGCACCAGGGATAATCTCTGAGGGAAAGGACCCCGTCTGAGACTGTGTGTTCAACTGACACCTCGAAACCGAGGTCCCCCCCCAAAAAAAAAAAGAAACCGAGGTCCCGAACTCGGTCCAGAGGGCAGATATCTAGCCTAAACACACACATACACACCCTCCCGACTAGAAATGGGGATATCTCTGGTTTGGTTGGGTACTGTCTCTGGGATGGAGCTCTCATTTGGGAATGGGAATACAGCTGGCTCCGTGGAGTTGGGGTCCCCACTGAGAATAAGGGTGTTATGGGCTGGAGTACTCAAATGAAGTCGCGGGTATTTTTAGGCTATAGTCTGTCTAAGGTTAAGAGTGTTCGCCAAAGGCCTGGCACTCATATTCCTGCCCAGGACAGAGATTCAAACAGGGAATTCGCTAGAGTCTCCCCTCGAACAGGGAGCAAAGTGCAAGAAGGTTTCCGGGAATAGAGTCCCTTCTATGACGAGGAGCACAGTTGTAGGTGTGGTCCCTGCCCTGGCCTGCCCAGCATGGGGCTCAGGGCGCACTGGACGAAGATCGGCGGATCTTGCCCACTACCGGACTTGTTCTCCCTCTAATCCACTTGCAGTCCAGGGACCTGTCTTCAGCCAACTAATCGGTTCGTCTCTGATTGGTTTGCGTCAAGAGCCAGGTGGCTCACAGCCAATTGGATAGCAGAGGAGACGGACCTGAGGCGATGTTGGGACCCATTTTGGAGAATAAGGACAAATGATCGACAGGAAGTTGAACCTATGGAGTCAGGCCAGGGCGGACCTCGGATCTAACTTCATGGAAAGGGCATGGACTTGGTGTTTGGCTGGTTGCTAAGGAGAGGTTGGCGGCTACGGGGAGGTGAGAATGATTGGTGAAAGTGAGAAAAAATGTAGCCAATGAAAGGAGAGCTGAGAGACTTGGGAACCAATCAGAGAAGGGGAGTCGTCAAAAGTACCAATATGTTAATTCGGCAGGGGGAGTCTTTGAAAAAACTTGGACAAGAGGGCGACTAAGTGAACCCTGGAATCGAAAGACATTGGAAATATAGTTTTTATTATCTCCTAAAAATCAGGCCATGAGGAAATTAATTCAGGCTCCTAGACTTGATGGGTATGTGCTAGGCAATTTCCCCTGTAGGTTCTTTTCGTGGTGCGCTCCGCTTGATCACGTGAGCCGGTTCCAAGATGGCGGCAGGGGTGGCCGGGTGGGGGGTTGAGGCAGAGGAGTTCGAGGATGCGCCTGATGTGGAGCCGCTGGAGCCCACGCTTAGCAACATCATCGAGCAGCGCAGCCTTAAGTGGATCTTCGTCGGGGGCAAGGGTGGCGTTGGCAAGACCACCTGCAGGTAAGGAAGCTGCGGCGGGGGCCGGGAAGACGGGTGGGATGTACCACTGGGCGAAGGGGAGGTTCGGGACTGGCTCTTCCACCCCAAGCCGAGAAAGGGGGCTGGGCCGGGGTCTTCCGGATCGTACTCCCAGAAGTGACCTGGGGCAAATGGAAGATATTGCCTGAATGCAGGCCTGGAACCCTCTGTTTTGGACCGCCCCCGTTGGGGTTCAAGGGTAGAACCACATTGAACCCAGCGCACGGGACGCAGGGGAGCACTTAGGTGTCCCAATCTGCTGGACGGTACCAGAGTGAGCTCGGAGTAGGGGGAGGGGCAAGCTATCCTAGTCTGGTGAACCTTGCCATTCTCTGGCCACGTGGGGGTAGAGGTGGTAGGCGGGAGGGGAGGCACGTGATTAGACCATACCAGTCGGCTGGGAGGAGGGGGAGGGGTCCCTGGGGCAAATTACCCTGAACAAGTGGACTGAACCATCCTGAATTTAGCGGGCGATGCAAGGGACCCCTTAGCTTAGCGTTTAGGGAGGGGGCACAAGGTCAAGCTAGGCTGGCTGGACAGCTGGACCGTGCCACTCTGTGCCAACAAAGAAGCAGCAGGCATCAGGCCAGACCGGCCCGGACAGCTGAACCTTACCACTGTAGTCACCCAGAGGGGTCAGTAGGTGAAGTCTGAGAAGGTCCCTATATAGGGATTAAGTCTTGATTCCACAGTTACCCATATTCTGGCTCAAGGCCCCTGTTAATCCAGGTCCCCTGCTCCTGGGCCCTATATAACCCCTTGCAGTCCTAGGTAGCAGAGCCTGACCCCTCACTCCCTGCCTTTTGACCTTTCCCTTGCCCAGCTGCAGCCTAGCGGTCCAGCTGTCCAAGGGGCGGGAGAGTGTTCTGATCATCTCCACCGACCCAGCCCACAACATCTCCGATGCATTTGACCAGAAGTTCTCCAAGGTGCCCACCAAGGTCAAAGGCTATGACAACCTCTTCGCCATGGTGAGTGGAGGTGGGCTCAGCTCCCCACTCTGGCAAAGGCCGTTCAGGCCCTCTCTGTGAACACCCACCATCAGCTACCATGCCCTGCCTATTCTGCATCATCCCTCAACGTACCCACAGGAGAACGAATGAGGAATGTTTGCGGAGCAGAAAGGAGGCCAGAGTGACCAGAGTTTAGCAAACAAGGGGAGGAAGGAGATGTCATAGGTCAATCACAGCTACGTGGTATAGGACCTTACAGGCCCCTGGGAGCAGTTATGTTTGATTCCAAGTTTAATAGGAAGCTGTTCATTTTAAGCAGGGCAGTGTCATGGCCAAATTCATTTTTCAAAAAGTTCCCTATGACTGCCGGGCGGAGAAACTCGGGTGGGGCCAGAATGTTGGGAGAAGTGGTCACATTTGGAATGTATTTTGGAATTAAAGCAACACAAATGTTTGGTTGTAATGGGCAAGGGAAAGAAGTGAACTAAGTACGTCTCTTAGTTGGCTCCCTCGACAGCCGGGATGGGGGCGACTAGGAGAGAAGCAGGTTTCGAAGGGACAAACAAGGAATTCCATTTTGGTCCCGGTGAATCCAGGGTGCCCACTGGGCATCCAAGTGGAGATGCCAGGACAGTGGCTTAGTTATGTGAGATATGTGAGCTTGGAAGAGGTTGGGGTTGATTTGGGAGTCATTCATTGTCTCAAGGATGGTATTTAAAGCTGCGCAAGTGGAGGAGAATGAGAGAGAACGGAGAAGCCCAGAAACAAACTGAGGTCACATCAACATTTAGGGTCCAGCTGGGGGGAGGGGTACGGGGACCAGTGAAGGAGGCCAAGAAGGAGCCACAGGTGAAGTGGGAGGAAGCCAGGCATCGTGAGCTCCTGAGCTCAGGACAGAGGGACTCGGTGGGAAGAAATAGTGGGCTTCAGCAGGCACATCAGATCTAGAGAGACCACTCTGGGAATGGGGGATGGGGGCAAAAGCCTGCACAGAGTGGGTGAGCTGAGGAGTGGGGACAGTGATCGCCATCATGGTGGCTGAGAAATAGGGCCATTGCTGGAGGGAGCTGAGGGTGGGTGGTGTTAAGGAGGCTTTTGGC